TAGGTTTGCTGATTACGGTACGTCTGTGTTTAAAAGAAAGATAAGAGAGGCTATTGAAATAAATAGCTTAGAAAATGCCGTGAATGTGAGGAACGGAGGTAGAAAGTTGAGTGGGAATTATTTATGCTTGATTGATAGATTGAAAGAGACAGATGGTGTTGAGCCGCCGTCAAAAAGAAGGCGACTCAATTTGTCTGATCAGTGATGGTTCTAATTTCACTCACATTCTTCCAAAATGTTAGATTAAGCTCTTCAAATGAACCAGAGATGTCAGATTACGCAACCTCAGTCTTGCCTTTTCTTGGAGGGTTAAACGTTAATGACCCTTGACGGAAAGGTTAGGACAAATGGTTTCGCAACTTGACTTTCATACGAACAAGCTCATATTTCATTTTTCCAACCATATTTGTTTACGGACCTAGGCAGTGTCAGTCAAAGATTTTCTCTTATGTTATTATGTCTTGAGGATCAGAACAGGAGATTTAATCTTTGTCAAGTCTGATTTAGGAACAGTCTTTCATATAGACGCTAACACACACACATATACATACTCATACAATCGAGCAAATATAACAGGACCAGTATGAAAGATGATTAACTAAACCACTCTATCTCGATCTATCTGTTCTACTGCCAGTCCTTCATCACCTTAAACGAAATAGGGTGATTAGATCTCATATAACGGATTTACTTAATCTCGAAACTCTACTTAAATTCGAAAAATAAGTAACGTAGTCGATTAATGTAACAAATATAAGTTTGCCTCATCGACAATCCCACCAAAGAATATGATATGGCAGAATGCCTGACCTTCCTTTAAAATCACATCTGCAATGTGACTCGAGGGCACTAGTGGCAATGTGGTCGAGGGTTTAAAGTGTTGAGCTCCCATTCTGCACTGCCACGGTTCGACTCCCGTTGGGGGGTTGAGAAGACCGAGCCAAGGTAGAAACGGCGGTCCACTCCAGCCGGGATGACGAAAACTTTTGGGAAAGCGAGGCTGTGTGAAATTGAATGCAAGCGGTGGGAAAATTCTTCTTCTACCACTCCTTTATCAACTTAAATCAAATTGGGTGAATACATCTCATACTACTGATATACTTTTTAGTCTCGAAAATATACTTAAAAATGAAAAATTGAATATAGCTGTAAGGATGATACCCTCCCTGCCCCAAGGATAGGCATCATATGACGCTTGAAATCTTAGCATGGTTTCTATGGAAATCGAAGGAGATCTCCCGGGAAGTAAGGTTAGCAAGAATGCTCTACCAAAGTCAATAGATAGTGGGAGAGGGTTGAATAGGCAAGCGTACTCTCGGTAGTTATGTGGACTAAAATTGTGTGTCCGTAGCCTTCTTTCACTTGTTGTTCGTATGCAAGTAGAGTTTGAAGACTACCAGTAAACCGGTCATTTGAGACGAAATTGGCTGAATACATTCCATACTACTGATTTACTGGTAGTCTCGAAACAATACCTAAATGCGAAAAATATACTAAGATTACCCTGACAGCTAACTATTAAAATTGACCTATATCTAGCTACTTTTATTAGAATTTATTTTTGTTACATTCGCATTTAAGTATTGTGCCGAGACTACCACTAAATCAGTAGTATGACACGTATTAACCCAATTTCGTGTAAGGTGATGAAGGACTGTCAGTAGAATTTTCAAACAATCGCATGATGTTTCCATTCAATTTCAAATTCAATTTCACAGAGCCTTGCTTTCCTAAAAGTTGTCGTCATCCCGGCTGGAATGGACTGCATTTTTAACCCAACTTCATTTTTATCAACAACCCCAGCGGAAGTCGAACCGTGACAATGAGGCCTGTGAGTGTTTCGAGGTAGAAACGCGATGACGACAACTTTTGTGAAAGCAAAGCAATGTGACATTTAATGAAAACGTCAGCTCAACTTATGCGATTGTGTGAACATTCTACTGCCATATCAATCGACTGCACTACTTATTTGTCGTATATAAGTAGAGTAAATGTGTTTTATGATATAAGGGAATATTCAAATACCAGTCCTTTATCACTTTAAACGAAATAGCGTGAATAAATCTCATATAATCAAGAAAAGTGACATAATTTTGGTTATTTTCAATTCACACCCTTATGAGTTTGTCAAAGTAGTGGACCAGCAAAATATTTCGTAAGAAGATATAATATTAAGTGTTGATGTGCTATGGCAGTACACAAATCTCGCAGTTGAACCATCTATTTGGTCTCTAATATTCATCCTGAGGCAGCATTTTGAGATAACGGAGGTAATTAAGTTGAGTATTACTTCAATTCTAGGGCTTCTTAACCTATCAACCAGTTGTACATATTTCCCCTTTGACGGCAACTTTTATGAACACACACTAACACACACAATGGCAACTTTCTTAACTCCAAGTTTTGGCGAACAATCGCACGAGAAAGTTTGAGGAACGCTTAACGTGAGACCAAATTCTGAGGCCTAAATGGATGATTATTTTGTAATCTGCAACACAGCAAAGACAGTTTAGCTAGTTTCCAATTCTCATTTAACCAGCGTTAAAGCAATGACAAATTAACAATGTAATTGGAAAAAAACTTCAAAGTACCTTTTTGTGAATGTCATGTTCATTAGGGAAGATGGTAGGCCAACAAGAGATGTTTATAGCATGTTGGTTGTGCTCTTATTCTACTTTGCAATCGAGTTGCAGAACGAAGGTAAGGATTTTATAATCTGTGATTATGATGAGTATGAACTGAAAATCATCTGACCCAAGTGTTCAGAAGGGTGAAAGCTCTATTCCCAAAGATTAATCATCATTCGCGCTAAATTGATTTCGTAACTAGACTTTTACTTTTACGGACGTCTATTTCATTCATTTAACCAGGATTACTTATAAACCAATGCAACCTCGGTCATCATAATTTCTTAATCAAGATTGACTACTTATAAGCAATATAAGTAGAAGAAGAGACGAGAATTAAGAGTCTTAACAGACGTGCAAGACTACGCGATCCCAGCCATGCTTCTCCTTCATTCCTTAAACCTCAATGAGCCAAATTAACGGGTTTGGACAGGTCGTTTCATAAACTAACTTACACACAAACACGTTTATATCTCATCATCACAGGCAAGGTAGCTTACGGACTTACGAAATCTCGGTTATGCTTCTTCCTTTGTGCCATAAAGCTTTGATGACCAGAGATTGACGTTTGCTCCTTTTTTTGTTGCCAATTACTTATTTATGGTCGGTCTTGCGGACATACGTTAACTTATTCGCATACACTCTCGAGCATAAAATGGTTAAGCAAACCCTCTTTACATTCATCCATGACCAAAAATATTCTCTCGTGATGAGCATGTTTATCAAGTAGGAAGGAGCTCAATTCTTGTAAAAGTATCCGGCCGGGATGTGATGATGGGCGTGACATGTTGCACGTAAACTCAGTCTGTTTTCACACAAAACGAGTGAAAGTGTCTCGTGGACTGCTTCCACCGAAACGTTGAAGTAACGCCAACCGGCTGTGGAACCACAAAAATCGTCCGTCGTCTTGTGGTGTGGTCGACTTACAAATCACTTGCATACGAAATGGAAGTCTGCACACAAACAAAGGTTGAAAAACTCTCGCTACGTTGCCTTCAGTCTCTACTTCAATGCTCAGTTGTGTTAGCAAATTTTTTTTTTCGACTTAACTATTGTTTTCGTTACTAGTTGTAAATGAGTAGTATGAGATGTATTCACCTAATTTCGTTTAAGGTGAAATTGAATGGATACGTCAGCTAAACTCATATCATTGTGGGAAAATTCTACTACCATCCTTCGTCACCTTAAACGAAATAGGGTGAATGCATCTCTTATAAAGTAAATAGACTAAATACGCACGATATAATGCTAATAGATAAAGCCTACTTACAAACTAAAAGTAGTGATATAACAAACAAGACTTCCTCATTGACAATTCGTCATATAATGTGATATGAAAAAAGGCCCAGCCTTGATTGAAATTCACATAGCACTCGTGATAGTCTGGCGTAATGATTAACATGTCAAGACAATCCGTTGCAATACCACAAGGCGAGTTCGAGTCCCGCTTTGGGTGTTGATGAGACCAGTTCGAGCAGGGTGGGATAAAAAGACTTTTTGGGAAGCAATTCTGGGTGAAATTCAATGTCTTCTAATGAGATTGTATGAAAATTCAACTACACTTCGCTTTTCACATTAAACGAAATAGGGTTTCCATCATACTTTAATGCGTCTTAAGTGACTTGTATGATAAAATTGAAGAGAAAATAGAATAAATTGTGAAGTGGACAAATCTGACTCACCTTGAACTGAGTCATGCAGAACATGTGATATTTGAGAGTCTTCTAGTCCAAGCAATGCATTGCCGTAATAATGAACTAATATTTCTATCAAAATAAACTTATTACTTTTACATATTTGTCTATGCTGTTGAGGTGTTTGTTGCCCAAATAGATGGAGATGAGTCTACATGAGTAGACTTTTTTATTTTCTACTCACCACATGTTGCACTCGCGTACACTTGTCGTGCTTCTTCTTCTTCTTTACTGCATGTCTGGTGTATGAGAAAGCAGTTCAACATGAGAGAACTCCATCGCGAAATGCAGCCCATGTCCATCCGATGGACAGTCTCAATAATCGACGCGACTTTTCTTCGCCCGACACGATGTTGAAGCAAGCGCCATGGGCGTCTTTTCTGGCTTTGGATCAGAAAAGTTTCGGAAGATGGCCCTTGCCTCTTGGAGAGTCTGAGCAGAGCAAATGGTCCTTCAACTCCGACAGAGCACGAGAGACGCGATTGCAACAGCCGAGTCCAGCCGGTCATCAGCAACGGCCACGCTTGGATTCGAGGCATCACTTCCGGACGACAAAAAATAAAAAGATTGTGCCCCAATCTTTGCTACCGATGCTTCCAAAGAAGACTACATCCACTTGTCAACGTCGGCAATTTCACCAATTCGACGAGTATGTCGCACTGAATGAGGCAACGTGTCACCTGCATTGTCGAGATGTGCAACCTGACAACCTACTGCCGCTGACTTGGAGACATTTTGAGAGGAACAATCCTCCCCAGACCATCATCCCTCAGACAACCTCCAGCCTCGGTCCCTTTTTGATGGTAGCACGCAACAGGTACAAGTAGGCTATTCTTACTTTTCGTGCATGAGTAGGGTGCCTAGACTACCAGTAAATCGGATGAGACGAATTCACCCAATTTCGTTGAAGGTGATGAAGTTCTAGTAGTTGAAATTTCCCACAATCATTTGAGTAGAGCTGACGTTTCACATGAATTTCACAGTTATGTATTTTTTAGAGATTATCAGTAAATCTGTAGTATGAGATGTATTCAACCAATTTCGTTGAATGTGATCAAGGTCGAGTAGTTGAATTTTCTCACAATCATTTGAGTAAAGCTGACGTTTCACATAAATTTCACATACA